GTTCAGGAAGCTTGAGAGAGACGTTGGATGTCATATGTATAGAAATATATTCGGCGGCCATGCCAGCTGCCCACCACCGAGCCCAATATGGGGACGCTGGGGTCTCTCATAATTATATGGTAGTTTTGGGACGTTAAACCCCACATTTCAGTATAGGGACGCTGTGACACGTAATGGGAGCGAGACCATCTCGTGCGAGACCACCTTCAAGATTGTAGCGCGGGAGCCAAGAAACCTCGCCGCGCCGACTATCTCGTAAAGTGCATGCGTATGATACTAAGCGATAAACGAGTTTTACTGATAGCGTCTCTCCACGCGAGAAACCAAACGTTATTAATACGGCACACGTTGACCAGTTCTTTTTTTTTTTTTTTAATCATAGGTCATCACCATCGATGTAGAACTCCTGATATTACATCGACTTGCGACTGCCGCTCTGCAACTCATGTAAAGGCCGTTTCACATGACACAACAAGTAGCGATTTTAAGTCTGCGAATTCGCTCGCAGTGAAAAGAAGAGCAGTTCACTCCCGCCCCGGCGGTCCACGGCGAGCTACCAATACGCAAAAAAATTTTCACTCTGATTGCAGCGGCTGAGCGATTTTTGGTCGGGAACCATAGAAATAGGGCTGGGCTGACCAAGCCATCAAAATTGTGTCTACATGATTGTGTAGGTAATGGTCACTGCTGCACATATTAAAATAAGTTAGATTGGATAGTGTTCTTGAATGATGAAACACAAGTGCTCTTCGTTACAGTTCATGGAAACTTGTTATTATTATAACGCACAGATTGTTGCATTATATTTGAAAACTTCTACTGTGTCTGCCACAAAGAACTGTGACAAGAAACGATGCTCGCCGCTCCAGTCGCAAAGCGAAAATCGCAGACCGTTTGCAGTTCATGTGAAACCGAACCACCATTAGCGGCAGTTGCGAACAGAGCAATTGGAGCGACCGGAACGATTTTTTTCACTGAAATCGCGGCATGTGAAACAAGCTTAAAGCACTCACACAGTGCAGATAAGAAATTTGTGTCTACGCAAATGAACCGCCGAATGTACAGAGGCTGATTTTATTACATATTAAGAAAAAAAAAAAACGAAACCACACTGCCGCCGACCGAAACACCAATCGAGCTAAGCCTAAAAGCATAGTCCAGAGCCGGCACACATGCAGGAACGACTCCTAAAGCACACGTTGAGAGTTTAGATTACAAAACGGAGCAGTGGCCAACCACCATTCATCAAAACTGTGCCATGTGATCGCTGACGCATCATGAGTCAGGAATCAAGCACAAAGGTGTTCATTCATATCGTTTAAAATGGTTTGAACGCACATTCTGTCACCATGCCTTCGCAAATAACCAAGTGTTTCTCTCTACCTGCAGACACCGATGCGTGTATTTTGCGTGCAATGGCTTTTTTAAATGCAGAACGCAATGAGAACATATTTGTCTAAATACGTTAGCACCTAATTGGCATAAATCGGGTATGGGCTGCATGTGTTCCGTCGCTCATGAGACCCATTTCGGGAAACCATGTGCACGCGTCAGAGAATCCAGGAGACGCCTGGCATGCAGGGAAATGACTTCGCGTTTACAGTTACTCACTCACGACAAACACGTACGCGTAGGTGACTGCGTGCACCAGCGACATGAAAACTAGAGCGACTGGAGGAACCTGCAGCCACCAGAAGAACCCACTACGCACAACAAAGAACCTAAAAGTCAACCCTGCTACGCTTGCCACTCGACTCTGTGGTTTTCGTAAGGTGACAGTGGCACTAGAACACACAGCCTAGCTAGTGAAAGCAGCACGCTCGACGCACGGCAGCACATTCTTGCGGGGTCACGTATATTTACAACAGTTTAGAGGAGATTATGATGGCACCATGGCAGCCTTCGTCACCAGAAAAGTGCAAAGTAAAAAAAAATCGCTATTGGGCAAGTCTTATTAATCAATTCGGCCCATTTTTCCTCTGAAGCTGAGGTTTGCCTCGAAAATCTAGCTTTCGAGGCTGCCTTGGAGCAATTTTCGCAATTTTTATGCTTTTGGAGCAGCTTCGTGCAAGACAACGGAAATGTATCAAAAATGTGCAATATTCATAGCTGTGTCACCCCTGTGTGTGCCTAAATAAACCATTTCAGTACCACATCATGAGGTTCGGAGGGCCGGAAGTGACCCCTGCTAAAATGGGCCTTACCATTGATCCTGTGCACATAGATCGCAAAAGCTTGGATTCACATTCTCGAAGTGCTCGTTCATCGTACCTTTAAGAATTGCTCAATTTCAAATACCCCTGATGGCACTGAAGATATAGTGCTGTTGGAGAACATCTTTTACTAGGAAGTTTTGGAATAAAGTGCCTCGGACGAGAATGAATAAGTGTGTGAATAAATGTGTTCAGTTTCTGTTTTGCCTAGGCTACATTTGGATGACAATTTGTTTTCTCCAGTTTTCTATGCCGAAAATACAACTCAGATAACAGTCGACGTCTGATTTCTCGGACGCCTGATATCCCGGACATGCCTGATTTTCCGCACTCATCTGTGGCCTCGTCAACTTCCCATTGAGTCAATGTAATAAACAGTCTGAAAGTCCGGACGTTTGCAGCTTTCGCCATCCAATATTTTAGACTTTTTACCGCTAATCACAGACTCATTGTCCCTGTCGACGCCGCCATTTTGGTTATTTTTGGACTCTCGAACCCACCGCGGCCCGGCTGCTGCGCCCTCGAAACCGATGATGCCGCAATCCAGCGCACGCCAATCCGTTACCAGCCGTAGCTTGGGCCACATGGTGCTATGCAGCCTGTCCTCAGACAGCGAGAAAAGCTACACTGTTGACCTATGGTCTGCTGCCATCTGTGTGCTTGCAGATTCGTAAAGCAACGAACCCTCCAGAACTGTTTTCGCAACGCGAGCTTCATACTGGATGCTGAGACGGTCGTCCGAAGTGGACAGCATGTGCAACGAACTTCCACCCCCCTGATGTTGCCTTTGATTATCTGCACATTGCTGGTGCTTCGATTCTAGCCCGGATGACCCTTGAGGGCTTTGCCGATTCTGATAAAGACCTTGAGTTGTGTGTGGAAAAGACCGATGAAGAATTCATTCGTCAAGTTACGAAGAATTCAGACAACTGCAACAACAAATAGCATGACGCTGACTGAAATTAAGGCAGACATCATCGCGGGCAAGTGGAACGCCAAGCAAATGAAAATAAGCGACTTATTTTTTCTGCCTAAGTGTTAATAAATGTGGCAGCGCTGGCCACATTGGAATTTTTATCTTTTCTTTTTTTTTTTGCTCTTTTCAGAGCGACCCAAACGATGCATTTCCTTAATTGTTATAAGAACCCTGTACTCCTGCCAGAACCCTCTCCAACAGTAAAAAATATCTATGAAGAAGTGCGTTTATGTTTGCTTTCGTTTTTCTAGACAGCCCCATTTTACAGACGTTTTCGCGGTCCCTTGAGGGTCCGGGGAATCGAACGTCGACTGTAGTGAGCGGGTCCGGACTTTATGCAGGTTTTTACGGTACTTGTTATCAATAGAACACAGTGCAAAAGGTAGTGTTAGCAGTTCACTCTGGCTATCAATCCGCCTCACATACTGAACATACGCCTTGTTTCCTGGCTGGAAGAAGCACTAACTGAAGGGCACAGCCCACGCTCCCACCTATTCTTGGTTCAACAGACGCTGACACGTGCACTGCCCCTTGTCCCCTTAGAATGGTTGGAATGTTTCTCTACGATGTAAAAATGCGCTTTTTCTCAACCTCACTAGCATTACTCAGATCCTACTTGCCATATATGGCATTCGTGCACTTGGAGTGCTCTATTGATTTTACCTTTCTCCAAAATGGTTAGTTGTGTAACTGCATATAAAGGCACCAGTCCAAGGTTTATTTGTCAAATAAAATCCCCTGTCCTGGTCAAATTTCAATGCAATAGCGTTTCAGTGCTTATTTCGCGAAAATTCCGGTGTTGATGCCAGTGTTGGCGTGAGCGAAAAATGAAAATAGATGCAAATAAATAAATAACAAAAATCTTTAGTATGAGTGGGAAGCGAACACAGGCATTCTGTATGACAGGCAGATGCACTAGCGCAAAGCCAAGCCAGTGCTTGAGAAGTTTGCGAAAAAGTACTCTATATGAATGTGTAGTGCAACGAGCGCCTAACCCATGCAGTATTATGAGGCAGAAGTGTAGAATTAAGGCAGATGTCCCACCCTGTGAACTGCACAATAAATAAAGGGTTTGCTTATTGGCCAAACCATTAAAAAGCACTCGAACAAATTTAATCAGCAGCAGCATCAATCAAGTGTGCAGCCTCACAGATGCCCATGTTGCCTTATAGACATGTAGTGGGTACTTCAACAATTTGAAAAAGGAAGAATTATGCTGTAGCGAATACTTTGCAGCTGAACTTGCAGTTAGCATTCTAGGACAGATAGAGCGGCCAATCTTACGCGCACAGACGTTTGTCTGCCAGCGGCTCACTTGAGCTGTCAAAGAAGCAAAGCCAGGATAGTGATTAAAAAAGCGGTATGCACAGGGCCCCCTTATGCTGTCGCAATTTTCTCTTGATGGCAAAGCTGAAGTGTCCTTGAAGTTCATTTTCAATTGCACAGTATCCCGAAAAACCACACTGGGCTTCCTACACAGCCGCGTGCCATATTCTAAGGTGGATTATTTTTGTTTTTCCTTGCATGGACCTTCTTCCACCTTATTATAGAAAGGTCACAAAACTCATTTGCAATATGGGTGTTCGAGAAAAGGGCACAAAAGAGCAATACAGGTGCAAAGACACAAATGTAGTCAAGATGGTATCATGTCATCACCTGCTGAACAAATTCTTTCTATATCTGCAGGTATGATCGTGGTGGTATGATGGCACCTCCCAGCAATGCGTCTTCAAGTCTAGAGGCCTTCCTCATTTTTTTATACTAAGAACAACTCGAATTGGCTAACTGAAGTAACTAGCACATCCACTCACCTTCCGGCAATCTGAATATGCTTGTCGTTGAGATGCCGGGTCATGGAGGCAAGCACAACATCCAGAGCAAGGTGTGGATGCTCACAGGCCTCATAGCGAAACACGTGGAAAAGGTCGTTAAGCACCTTCTGCAGCAGGAGGGGCCGCGATTGGTATGCCTGTGCCGCCACCAGCACTTGTTCCTCTGAGGCGTCACCAGACACCTGCAAGGGCAATGTGCATCAGTGAAAGGTGTGCATGCTGCCTGCCTTTTTCCTAACAACCAAACTGAAACCTTTTTTTCGCATAGTTGATAAACATGTTGGCAAGAGCGAAACCTTCGGGTGAACTTGTGTGAATATATGGTGTGGGAAAACTTAATAGCGCAACATGTAATAAAATAATAATGTTTAGTATTATATGTTGCGCCATTAAGTTTCAACAAAGATGAAAGACTCTCTATTAATCTGTACAATTTAGAATCTGTGCGCTTCTGAGTTTTACCTCTAGAGGTTATGTGTGCAATAACAGAGGGGGGGGGCATAGCCAGCAAGCTACCCCCCCCCCCCCCAGCCAGCACATTTGTTCCTACGAAAAAACCTGGTCATGAAGAAATTTTCGCTGCACTTGAATGTTGTTACAGATGCAATCGACTGTTCATCCCCTAAGAGTAGCACAGATTCTCTAAGCTTTTACTCAACTTTCTCCAGGCCTAGGGGCTCAACAATTAAAATTTTTTGAGAATGCCAAGTTTTCCAAGTTGGCAGATACCCTTGATAACTTTCTTACTAGACTAGCATGTGATAAAATGAATACACCTCTTAGAGACAAAAAGTTCCCCCAGAAATCCAATTTTAAGTTACTCGATTTTCATGTTGCTAATGAATTCCCATGCCTACCTCCGGATTTAATCTTTATAATATACTACATACTTATCTTATGTACTACATATTTATCCACTTAATACAACAATTTAAACAAGTGAAGCTATAAGCATCATTCTTTAATTTAGGGTCAAATTACATGTAACTTTTCTTGCATACAACTTCAGAAAACACACTCGACTGGTTCTATTTTTGCATCATTGAAAAAACTGCGTTTCCAGTATGATGCCTGCAATTGAATACAAAAAAATACAGGTGACAGTAGTGAAGTTTTTCACAACATAATTATTGAAGAAGCACCACAGTTCACAAATGCTTCCAGACGCATTTATTAAAAGAAGGTAATTTTTAAGAGCTCATTTTATTTATTTTTTGTTGATATAGAAAACCCTCAGACAATGAACCCAAGGAAAGCATAGGGGTCTCCATCGAAAATAAGACTCCCATGGCTGGGATCAAACCGCGACCTCTAGGTGAGCAGCCAACACCATAACCACTGCTCCACCATAGTGGACTGCTTTAGTAATTGAGCAACAGTGACGGTCATCCTCTCGTCCCCTTTATCCGGTATTTTATGCGCATGCAAACCTGAGAGCACCACTGGTAGTTAGCACCGCTGGTAGCCATGACAGTGAGTGAGGAACACACTTTTTCTACCAGCTGGTGTCATAAAGGAGACCAGCGCTGGATAGATAGCGCGCCAAAAAACAGCACTTGGCGGAGAGTCACGACACAACTCAGCCGCTCACAACCAGACAACCGGCCGCAGCGTACTGCAGGGAAAGCATGCATGTATGCCGCTGCAGCACTTCATTTTGAAATGGACCGCTTGAAAAGATATTGCGCCTGTAACACTGCACTGTGGTTTCGAAATAAAAAAAATGTTAAAAAACTTTGTCTGAAGGCTACTCACATAAAGAGCACTCGAAAACGAAGAAGTTATGCGGAGTGGACTGAGTCTATGCATGTGGCATCAAGGGGACAGGGCTGTGCAGTGACGGCGACTCACTCGTTATCATTTTCTGGTTGCATGCTGGAATTTGTAGGAAGCTAGTGTTGGCTGATATGCCCCTATTGATAAGACTGTGTGGCCATAATGCCACACTACCCACTTTTGTGGTAAAGAAATAACAAAAAACAAAAAAACACAAAGGAAGTAGTAGCTGTGGCATCAACTTTCTTTCTGGCGCCATATGTACATCCTGAGTGATGCCACCGAGGTGTTCTGATTTAGAGCAATTTTCGGAGCACATTGGAGCAGTAGGAGTTTCTATTTTGGAGCACTTTGAAGCAGCACAATTTTCCATTTTGGAGAAATCTGGAGCAGCTAAGTTCACATCCTGGAGGAGAAGCAAGTTGCATTTATGTTCAAGGGAATGAATAATTATTTTGGGGCACTTGTTTCCTGTGAAGAGCTAGAAATATCTCCACTCATTTCAAATCTCATGAAGCCAGTCATCTTATAGGAGCACTCTCTATTTTAGTTGATGATGCAAAAATAGTGGCATCATTATGATGGTCATTCTGAAAAAACTTGTTCAATGATTATTTTTGTAGCAAATAAACAGAATACTGGTTGAAAAATATTACACTTTATGAAATCACTTACTATACACCTATGTGGTTATCAGTATATGAGATAGACAAACGCTGAGACAGACAACACTGCAGACACACACAGTCACAACTGCATTTCCCAGAGGTGACTTCAAGGATAAAGAAAGGTTCTTTTTCTCCACAACCGATTATACTGCTGGGCTTAACAAGACGTCATTTAGCTAGTCTCATAAAACCAACCTCCTCCAACACTCATATCTCTGTGCTGAAGCTACAAGATTTAACAAACTTCGTTTTCCTTTTGCAGCAATGTTTTATGTGGCTAGAACGTTCTGTCTATACACGGAAACCTCCCCCTATAGTGTCCTGTAGAAACGAGTGCATAAAGAAAAAAAAACCCTCATGGGTACTTTATGCATACGCCTAAGACGACTAGAAGGTGAGGGCGATTTCGTAGTTAATGTGATAGCCATTACAAGGACATTCTCGACCGGTCATTGCTATTGCCAGGGGCGTAGGTAAAATTTTTTATAATTTGGGGAGGGGGGGGGGGGGAGTGCACCTTGATCTGAAAGGGGAGGGGGGGCATGCAAATGGTAATATTGAGCTATATATATGCCATGGCAAAAAATATTTTTGCCCCGCCTGGCTATGCCAATGGCCGTCGCTGTCATGTTTTCTTATATTATCCCAATCGACAACATCCACCCACGCATCGTGTTTTACAAGCAGGAAAAAGCGCACGAGCAGGGGTGACGAACACAGCTAACGCAGAGATAAAACCGGCGTGCATTTTTTCGCACTGTTAAACCTTAAATGTAACACTGAGAACGGCAAGCAGATCGAAACGTGCAGCGCACTGCTCAGGCACAAATGACACAGAGAACATACTATACAGGACGAGAGCAAAATAACGTTAACTGCTCGACACTGAACGCACTGATTAAACAAAAACGACAAACAAAACGTAGTCACAAGTACAGATAAGTGCAAACTAACAAGTGTCTTAGTTTTTTTACTTTGCTGTATACGAAAAGTGAGCTTTTCACAAACAAGGCCTGTGCAGCTAGCAAAGTGACCTTTGTGTTAGGCCCGACATTTAACACGATTATTCTGATGAAAGCCAAAGACAATGGGATTGGGCGTGTTGGTATAACATCATAAAGGGTTTTGATTGATATGTGGGGTTTAACAACATCATAAAGGGTGCTTACCAGCGCAGACGACAGGGCAGGAGGGGACAGGAGAAGAGACGAGACAAAGCGCTGAACTGCCAACAATTTATTTCTTGTGAAGGTATTCGCTTTTATACAGTTACCAGTGCACTAGTCATGTGCAAAACACCATGACAATGCATAAGTACATCACATTGACAAGCAAAGGAACAACTTTTCCTTACAATGACAATGCATAAGTACATCACATTGACAAGCAAAGGAACAACTTTTCCTTATCAGTGAGCGCGACAGAAGGGGTGCTAACACAAGCATCTTTCAATGAGCAAATCTTTTCTGCCTCTATGATCTCGCGTGTGGTACGATCCCTGCATCTAGCAACAACAGAACACTCTGAAAATATTGGCCGGCAACCGCACAAGCTGCAGTGAACGGACAGCCATCCTTGTTTATAGTGATCCACATTGTACATATGTTCCCTTAGCCTCTCATTTATACAACGACCTGTTTGAACGACCTGTTTGACCGACGTAATACCTTCCACACGATAACAGCAGCTGATACACCACATTACAGAGGCAATCTTTGAATTTATTTGCATGTTTTGTAGTGCAACCGAGGGTAGGTCTGGACGGAGGAACGGACAGCTTGCACAGGCGACTCAATTTTTGAGGGGCCGTAAAGACCACCTTCACATTAATTCGCTGTGCCACTTTCTTAAGATTGTGTGCTATCTTGTGCATATTGGAACCACGGCGAAAGCCTGTCTAGCTGTGACAGGTGGGACTGAATTATCTGTCCCTTTAGCCTTAAGTTCATGCAGCAGGCCTTCGGCAACAGAAACTTGCACGTGGTCGGGGTAACCAGCCGACGTCAGCCTTGAATATTGCTCAACAAAGCTTTCTGTAATTTTGTGCACACATGATTTTCGCAAGGCATTCATGAAGCAAGATTTTGCAATACCTCACTTAACTAACTTAGAATGTGCGGAATGAAATGGCAAAACAGGCTTGTTTCCACGTGGTTGATACATCCAGCAAGTGCGTCCATTATTCAGGAAAAGCTTAAAGTCAAGGAACCTGATTTCACAATTCTCAGAAAGTTCATGAGTAAGCTCAAAATGTTTAAAACCATTTCGCATCAGGTCTCAAACTGTAAGAGCATCATTCTTAAACGATGCAACATCAGTGTCCATAAAAATTAAAAAATCATCTACGTATCTGAAAACGTGCGTCACATTAGTGTTAGTGAAAACTTCCAAAATGGATCTGTCTAATTTGCCTAAAAACAGGTCACTGACGATGGGAGCGATGCAAGAACCAATACAGATACCGGACTTTCGAAGGTGAGGTTTTCCATCCCATAGGATGTACGTCGACTGAAGGTAAAACCTTAAAAGCTCTAAAAACCCACTGACGCTGACACCAGACTGGGTCTGGAATTTTGAGGTGCCATACTCATCTATATAATCTCCAATGCATTGTAACAATGAGTCATGCGGAATGGAATAGTACAGGTCTTCGACGTCTACAGAAAAGGCGAAAAGAGTCTTATTGCAACGCGACGAAATAAACTCCTGGACTTCACATGAACTTTTTACCAGAAATA